GCTCGACCCGCACCGACGTCTCCGCAAGCACGCTCGGGAGCGCCGGCAACACTGCGAGTTCGATGCTGCAGCCCGGCTCTGCAGCGGGGTCTTCCCCCAGCCCGGTGCCCTTGCAGCGCCGCTGGGGGCGGAGCTAGGGTGGAGAGGTGCCCGCCCCTCCCCTGCCCGCCCCTCCCCGCCCTTCCCCTGCGGTCCTGCGGCTTTGCCAAGTGCCTCTGGGAGAAAGCAGTAGCAGCAGCCAGTCAGTAAGAAAAGTGCGGGCTCGCGGCGGACCGAGGCCATGTTCTGTGAAATAAAGGACTTTGGACATGTCCCTTTGCCTTTTGAGTCTCAGTTTCCCCATCGATAAAAGGGAGAAAACAGCCGGGCGCTGGTGGCGCACGCCTTTCGAGAGGCAAGGTCAGGAGGAACGCTGAGTTTGAGGCGAGCCTGGTCCACAAAGGGAGTTCCAGGATAACCAGGAGTACACAAAGAAACCCTGCCTCGAAAGACAAAACAAAACAAAACAAACAAAAAAACCAAAAAGGAGAAAATAGTCAAATAGTACTTTCAGTTCACCCTTTGCTCTGACAACGCCATCCCGTCTCTGTCCCAGACACTGTCGGTTCTAGCCTTTTCAAGGCTCAGCCCCTTCTCTTTTACATTTTCCATCTTTTTCCTCTCTGTTGTGCCAATAACAGTTACCTTTTAACAGCCCTCTCCTTTCCATTCTCAGTGGAGCGTCTGATTCTTCAGTTTCCCAGGCAGCTATTATTGCTCTTTCCAGGGGTCTGAGGCCTCTGCTACACCTAGGTGCTTTTTTTTTTTTTTTTTTTTTGAGATGCACTGTAATGAAATGCAAGACATATCTATCTCTTACCCTTCCTTGTTCAGTGTTCTCTCTCTGTCTGTATGTGTGTAGTATAGTGTATTTACATATACCCCCTGGAAGACTGCTTCCTTCTTATTTTTTTGAGACAGAGTCTCTCACTGAACCTGAAGCCCTTTCTTTTGGCTATACTGGTTGGCCAATGAGCTCCAGGGACCCTCCTGTTTCTGCCTCTCCACTTCTGATGTTTTATACACACACCACCACCACCTTCTTATGTGGATGCTGGGAGTTCCTGCTTCAGGTTCTTATGTTTGCAAAGCAAGGACTTTAACTGCTGAGTCAGTCATTCATTTCCCCAGCCTGAGTTCTGGGTTACACTCTTTTAAATTGCTCCCACCTCATTCTCCCCCTTATTTCAACAGGGGGTCCTTTCCAGACTTTCTTGCAGGCCCTTCCAACCCTCTGCACACTCTTAGGGGCTGGGCTCCCTTTCTCTTCTATACTCACTGTAGGTGACCCCTCTTCTGATCACTTGTATGTTAACCTGGCTTACCGGGCCTCCACTGCACAAGCAAGGGACACTGACTTGTGCCCTAATGCTGCCAAACCCATTTGCTCCTTACCTCTGCTTGTCTGAGTCCCTCCAGCCAGCAGCCTCAACTTGTTAGAAAAACAAATTCTCAGGCCCCAGCCCAGTTTCTGAACCAGATTCACCAGGAGGTGGGGGTTCAGCAACTTACATTCTCAGGAGCCCTCAGGGGCTATAGAGTTGGAGAACCACTGAGCTAGCCTGAGACCTAATTACTGTATTGACTCTCAGCTGACTTCAGGTAAAACGTCATGTGTGCAGTGTTTGTTTCTGGAGATGCGCTGCAGAACTCTTCTAGGCCTAGTATAAAAACCAATTATTGGGCATGCTCTTCTGTACACAGACCAAGTTTGAAAGGATACACAGGACACCAGCATGGTGGCTATTTCCAAGGACGAGGATCTTACAGACAGGAATTGATGAAGAATCTTTATTAGATACTTTTTTTTTTAATTGTGGGTTTTATAACATGCCGCCTATGTTTTCAAAATATAGACAAAGTACACCCCCCCCCCCCAAACGGGTTTCTCTGTGTAGCCCTGGCTGTCCTGGAACTCCCTCTGTAGACCAGGCTGGCCTTGAACTCACAGAGACCAGTCTGCCTCTGCCTCCCGAGTGCTGGGATTAAAGGCGTGCGCCACCACTGCCTGTGCCACCACTGCTACCAGGCGACAAGGTATACTTGAAACAAATCCAACAAGGCAAGAATTCTCTTTTCCAGCTTTCTCATGGATGCAGGCAGCCTGGTTGACTCTTTAAGGCAGGTCCTGCTAGAGCAAGGCAGAGACATGCCATCGGAGGAACTCTGCCCCCTTCTGGACAACCTAGCGTCCTCCTACAGTCATCTGTCACCATTAATAAATAACCCATAGGTCAAATGTACCAAGTCCCTAATTGGCTTTGGGACCTCCATTTGAGCTGTTACTTCCACAGACAGTCTTCTCACTCAGCCTGACTCACTCTTGCTAACCCTCCCCACCTTCGGTGCTCCCGGTCTGTGCCACACACTCCCAGCCCACCTAGCACACCTGAGATTCTAGCACACTCATGCGATTGTAGGGTTGTGTGATTTAAGTCTGCATCATTCACTGTAGGGTAAGGACGCCATGATGAGGCCCACACTTGGCTTGTTTTTAGCTGTAGCCCTGCCTGCCTCTGGCCTCTTCAGGATGGGTCTTCTGCAGACTTACCCTCATCCTTAGATATATTCCTTTCCATTCTTCTGTATTCCCTGTAAATGCTAAATCTGTCTTACAGAACCTGTCTCCTCAACTTAGAGCAGAGGGCACTCACTTTCCAGGATTGTGGGGAAAATGTCAAAAAATTAGAAAAAAGGCCCAGTGTGGGTGCTGGACCCTTAGTGGATGCCTATTTAGTGAGTATCTACTGCATGCTGCTCGGTAGCAGAGGAGACACTGGTGAGAGAGTAAAGGATTGGCTGGTCAGGGGTATCTGGGAAGGCTTTGGGAAGGAGGAAGCATGGAGCTGAAAAGGAGAAAGACTTGTCTTCAGGAGCTGTGCATGTGATTGAACTAATCTTTGGGTTGACTTAGTCTCTGTCCACCTTTCAATCCTCAGGTATCAAGATGTCTGCAGCGCACTTGGCATTCCAGGGAAGAACATTCCAGGGAAGGGGAAGTTCTGCATCCAGGGGCTCTGGGAAGACCCTGTGATCCTGACGCATTTTAAAATGGACAGCTAAAGAAGGATTTCTTCCCCACAACACTAAGGGACCTCCTTTGTTGCAGGGGCCTGCCGCAGGCAAAGTACAGTTCCCTGGCCTTGGGGAGCTCAGAAACAGTGGCAAGGAAGTAACCACTTCAAGACCATTTCTTACAGTCCACCTAGACAGATAGGGCCATGTGGAACACAGAGACCTAGTTGTCCCTTGATGGGAGGTATTAAGGAAGTGCAACTGAGGAATTGGAACAGGATCTAAAGAGTTTACAGTGGTCGCGGCTAAGGGTATTGCAGCTTTCTTCTTTCTTTCTCTTTTCTTTTCTTTTTTTCTTTTTCTTTTTTTTTTTTTTTTGAGACAGGGTTTCTTCCTGTAGCCTTGGCTGTTCTGGAACTCCCTCTGTAGATCAAGATGGCCTCAAACTCACAGAGATCCTCCTGCCTCTGCCTCGAGTGCTGGGATTAAAGGTGTGTGCCACTACTGCTCTGTGGTATTTCAGCTTTCTGACCCACTGAGTAGCAATCACTTCTGGGCCATTTCATTTGCATGTGAGAGCAACAATAACAGGGATACCTTGTTGAGCAGGTGTGGGAGGTCTAGATAACATAATTTGTGTAAATCTCTCATAACAGCAGCTGGCTGTTCAGGATGAAACCCAGGCTCACTAATACTGGTAATGGACAGGTATTGGAAAATGCAGGAAGGTGTGGCAAAGTCTCCTGAATAGCAGGTGAGGGAAGAGGTGTGGGGAGCAATGTGGGCAGGAATTGGAACAGGCTAGATTGTATATGCCAGGATAAAGACTTTTAAACAATTAAATAAGGAATGACACAGAACTGCCAGAGAACTGCCCAGGTAGAGGGGGCAGAGTGAGGTGACATAGTGAAGACACCTCTGAATGACCCAACAGAGGACAAGCAAACAAAGCAGTAGGGGTCTTTGTCTTCTAGGGGAACAGATAGCTCCTAACCCTAACCCTAACCCTACTACAATAGTGTTTTCCTAAGGGAGGTGGGGGGCGACACTGAAAACAGCCACCACAGCTGATCTTGAGGCCCGTGGCCGCGCGCCACCTGGTGGCCGCGGGAGGTGTGCCCTGGTGTAGGAAGGGAGAAAATCCAGGATTTTGTTTGGTAGACACTTCGGTAAAGGGAGGCGACGTGTGTGTATCTGAGTGTTAGCATCTTACCATTGGACACGGTTCTTATTACAGCTCCCATTTTTCAGACAGGTAAACTGAGCAGAGGTGGGAAGAACAGGCCGGAAAAGGGGATACTTTTAAAGCAGCTCTTTAAGACACCCGTAGTCAAGAGTTTCAAGTTTTCTTTGATGGCATCAATGTCCCTGATCTTAGTTTGCCCATCTGTTCTATGGGCAGGGTGCGGGCAATGAAAGAGGAGGAAGAGAAACTTTAGTCTTTCCCGCCCACCCGGAGGTAAAAGGCTTTAAACACTTCTCCGGAAAGCAGAGTTGTATAGATTCTATTTGCATACGAACGCAGTCACCCCAGGTTAAACTCGGGTCCTTTAATCTCTGGTCCAATTTGTCCCGCGGCCGCGGAGGAGAGTCCTCACGAGTACCCACACACCCCGCCCCCTGGGGCCTTCCCCACAGGGCTGGGCTTGGTTGCACGTGCTCTGAGGGTTCCAGGTGGATCCGCCTCCTTGGAAAGACTCATCGTTAGCGCGGGGAGGCAGTCGGAATTGCAGAGAACTCTGAATACGGACAAGTTACAACAGAGAGAGGACCGTGACATAACCATTTCTTCTATAGACCAAGTTTTATTAGAGTTCGGAATAACGATATGGTTTGGTTCTCCCTCCTCAGGACTGCCAGTATCTTTTCACTTCACCCCTTCAATTGGTAGAGACCCGTGTGGCCAGCCGCGCCCGGCGGACTACAATTCCTAGCACGCCCCGCGGGCATGCGCGTGGCAGCGGCGCGTGACGTCAGAGGAGGGAGCTGGCCAGTGCTGAGGGGGCGCGGCGCGGAGGAGCGCGGAGCCGGGAGGCTCGGGGGCCCAGAGCGCGCGGCGGCCGGGAGCCTGCCGGCCCCTGACAGCCCCCTCCCCCCGGTGGACGACGACGACGACGACTACTAGGGCGCGAGTCATGGCGGAACAGCGAAGCCTGCGGGGGCCCTGAGCGCCGCCGCATGGAGCGGGACGAACGGCCGCCTAGCGGAGGGGGAGGCGGCGGGGGCTCGGCGGGGTTCCTGGAGCCGCCCGCCGCGCTCCCTCCGCCGCCGCGCAACGGTGGGTGAAGGGCCTTCGGAGCCCCGGCGGTCCCAGCGCCCGCGACCCTCTCTTTCTCTCAGGCGACTCTGGCTCCGGGCCGCCGGGCGGCCCCTCAGCGTGGACTCCACCCCGGGGCTCGCACTCTCTACTCAGGGTCCCGGGTGCCCTCAGCGCGGACCCACCCCTCCCCCCGTCCCTGTCCCCTCGACGCCAGTCCTTGCTCCTCCCCCAGGGCGCCCTGGTTTATGGAGCACCCTGTGCCTTCACCTGGGGGGCTCGCAGACGCCACACTTCGGCACCCTGCACCTATCCTGGGGCGTTTTCCTCAGGAAGCCCCACGCTTCCTCCCAGCCCGGCGAGCCTCCGCCTCCGCGCAGACCCCGAATGGTGTCCCTCCTCGGACCTCGATGCCCGCTCCTGTCCTCAGGCCCCCTCTCCTAGGCTGCGCCCTGCTGCTGGCTCAGGTCTCCAGCGGGACGCCGGGACTCGGGACACCTGCCTTTTCCCGGCGTTCGCCGGACGCTTCCCTCGCCGCTCAGCCTAGCTCTTCCGGGGTGCTGAGAATTCCTCACCTGGCCGGGCCGCTTGTGTCCCCTTGTCCAGGCCCAGTCCTCAGGTTCCTCCGGGTTGTCTCCCCCCGCCCCCGGGCAGTGTTTTATTTGTTTTTGTTTGATATTTTTCCCCTCGGTGTTTGTGGCGGAATGTTTTTATTGGTAACGTGTAAGGAGCTTTTGTGAGGTCGTAAAAGGTGAACTTTTGAACTTGGAGAGCGCCCTGGAGCAATTAGCGAAGGCGATGGCCCCGGGAGGCCTGCATTACAAAGGGTGCTCGTTGCGGCAGGCAAACGCTCCCGCGGCAAACCCGATTTATTTATTTATTTGCCCTGCCTTCCACCTTTCACATCTCCTCATTTCCGAATAAAGGGCAGGCTCTCAGAGATCCCTGCCTCCTCCCCTCTCTGCGCCATAAACGCGTAATTCTCTGGAAGATCTAGGACCCGAACAGTGTCTAACAAGTAACAGATTTCGGATTGAATGCAAAACCGGGGACAGTTAGGAGGCACTAAAAATTAATTGCTTTAGTAAGAAGTTTCTCAAATCAGGACAGTGACTTGGCAGGTGTGGGGAAAGCAAGCGAAAATAGGTCACCGAGGCTCCATTGTGGAATGAATGAATGGGGAGCCACAGAGGAGAAATCTTGAGTTGGAACTGCTTCTTCATAAGTTTATTAATTCATCAAACATTTATCGTTAATTCAGTAGATCTTCAGTTTCTTTCTTTCTCTCTCTCTTTCTTTTTTTTTTTAAAAACCAGTTAAGAGGAAAAGTCTGTTTAGAAGAGGGCCTGGTTAATTTGATATGATGGTCATCAAATGGTGATGTTTTCAAAAACTCTTTGAGTTTTAAAGATGAGTATGATGTGTGTGATCTAGGTGTCCGGGCATCTGGTGGGGACTGATTTCTGAATGGGAACATGTTTGGGATCAATAAAATCCCACGACACAAAAGGGGAAGGAAGGAATATAGTTAGGGTAGAAAGGAACAGTGTTTAGAAGAACAAAGATGTTTTTTTTTTTTTTAAGTTTTTGACGTTTTAAATGTTAATTTATGCGGAGATTTGGTTTGGTATTAACCTGTGAATGTTGTAATTCTTGACCTAAAATTTGCCATGCAGGTTTTTAAATTCAATCTTCAGATCTATCGGATATCCCTGTTAGTGTATTTCCGTAATGCCTTCCTGTTTGCAAATAATAGTTTCTGTTACCACCTGTGCTTACTATTAGATGACAGATTTTATTGCAGCCATCACTTTTAGTTCGACTTGAGAATATTATTGTAAGGGAAGCCAGAGAACAATGCAATTATTATTAATTATTCATTGGAACAGTTAAAGAACTGAGTGGCAATTTTATCTCATTCTTATTACTTGTTAATACTCATCTTTTCCTCAGCTGATTAGAACCATTTAAAAGAATCTTAAGGAACAGTCTGTTAAGCTTAAAAATGTCTAATATTTTCACACCAGTCCAAGTTAGTGATACAAATATATACTTTTTGTTGAAAACACGTGAACTTTTGGCTGCTTAATTGATTCAAAAGAAAATATGAAATTTTTGTAGCATAGCCTGTTTTTCAGTGCAAAAATTAGCATTGTATATGTAGTCTTTTATAGCTTATGTTAATGAGTACCCAAAAAGTGCTCAGAATTTTCAAAATATAAAATAAAGTTTGCCTTTCAAATACTGGACTTTTTTTTTCTTTCTTCCTAATGAGTATTTTTCTCCAAAGATAAATGAGATTGTTTGATTTCTGAGGAGAAAAGCACTCCTTTAACTTTTTTTTTTTGAGCTGAGTATCGAACCCAGGGCCTTGTGCTTGCTAGGCAAATGCTCTACCACTGAGCTAAATCCCCAACCCTCCTTTAACTTTTTATCTTGGTGACATTTTCATTTTTCCTGAAGTCGTTATCTAGAGAGGAGGCCTTCGGTCTGTGTCAAGAATTAAAGTCCAGGCTCAGCTCTCATTGCAGTGTTGAACTGACAGAGGGACCAAAGCTCTGGAGCTTGAAATAAAGGCTCTTTGCTTTAAAAAAAAAAAAAAAAAAAAAAAAAGAATTAAAGTCCATTGATGCTGAATTTACAGTCCTCCAGATGTTTTTATGATTCCATCAGAACAGAGTACCTAACCTTTTGATGCACCATCACCCTTCCAGGAATTCCTTGTGCTGACTCTGCTATTTTCGGCTGTTGCTTGTGGTTTTCATAACAAACAAACTCATTTAGTTGTAGTAGTGATTGCTCCCTTTTGGGATTTCAAAGGGAGATGAATGCTTTGAGGGAGCATTTGTTCACTTTATTTCAAGAGAGTGAAGGAATAGATTTTTTAAATATTTAAAGCAAAAAGACTATAGGCCATTTTAAAAAGAATTATGAACACAATTTCCCATTATTATCCTTTGGAGAAAATGAGCTTGCTAAAGTACTATGGATGTTCCCTCACATTACCAACAAAATGCTTACTTCTTTTTTTCTCTTTCTCTTTTGGTTTTTCAAGACAGGGTTTCTCTGTGTAGCCCTGGCTGTCCTGGAACTACGAGTTGTAGACCAGGCTGACCTCGAGCTCACAGAGATCTGTCTGCTTCGGCCTCCTTAGTGCTGGGACTAAAGGCGTGCGCCACCACACCCGGCTTCAAATGCTTATTTCTTAAATTAACAAGTACTTTACATCACAAATTTAACTTTTTAGTTCTGTGACTTGAAAACTTAATTCTGAATCAACTGAGAATGTTCTAATTTCCTTAAGGAGAAATCTGAGGTGTTAAATAACCACATTTCCAATGTATTTTTCACCAAATTCTTGAAAACACCTCATTCTTGCAGAGTATGAGGCTAGCATGCTTACTAATATGAAATTCATTTTACATTTTGTGCAGAAGTTGTATGCTTGTACAAGTACATGAAAGGTGTTAGAAGGGAAGCTAATGAAAAAAATGCAGATTTTCAAAACTATACGAATATATATCAGTATTTCTTGATTTCTCATCCCTCTTGTCCTCTGGGGTTGTGGGACAAAGGTAGAAATTCTAGGTCATAACACAATTTTAGGACAGTTGGTAAAATATCTCTTAAATAGAAGAAAATGACTTATTTTGTATGTAAAAACCATATTATAGTCATCTTTATGAAAAGGCATCAGAATCAGAGAAAGCTCTTTCTGCAGATAAAGAAGCTTCCATTTCAACAAGGAAGCAGTCTTAAACATCAGGTAGCTTTCTAATATGCCCACATGGGTAGTGCTGTAATACAACCAATTTTTTATAATACTCTGAACACAATAGGCAAGTTGTGAAGGAAAGTGTTTGCTTTAAAACTTTTGTATTCTTGAGGTCAAATTAAAAATTAAAAAATTTTTTTTTCTCATTAAATGTTTTTCTGGTTTAGATAATTCCTTGAACATTTATGGATGTCTCTGTTTGATAAGTGGGATTCAGAGATGCCAGAATTATTAAGTTTGCAAGGTGGCTTGGTACAGAGCTAGGGAATTCTGTTTTGGCTATTGAGGTTTTTGTAGCTGAAGTTTTGGCTTCATCTTTATCTTAATTGTACATTTTAGAAACATCTCTGGATGTAACTTTGCTGTACAATATTCATAAAATGAACCCCAGTCTTTCTGTTTCCCAGTGTTTACAGCATAGTTAGATTTTAAGTTATGGAGAATTAGGGAAAAAAACAACACTCAAACCCATAACATTGTGAGATAACCATTGTTTAGAAACAAGTAGGTATAATTTATTTAAATGAAATATTTCTTGCTTATTTTATTCCATTCTTATGGCCTTTCTAGAGCAGTTTCTGAAGAAAACAGATTTGTTTCCTGTGGGCTACAATTATTTAAATTATTTTAATAAGACTTTTCTATTGTACTCAACAGTTCTAATTAACAGTGATTTAGCTTGGGAGGGACAAGGATTCCTCAGCTGGCTGTGGGGATCTGAATTGCTTCTTTCCCCACCCCAGCTGCACTTCTAGAACCGTTTGATCCCCATGCTATCATGGTTGTCATTTGAGAAAGCAAATTGAGAGAAAAAGTGTTGGGAAAATGGAGCTTTGTTTGTAGTTTTAAATTTTTGTTCTTATAGGAATAATTGAACTTCAAACTTTTATCAAGTTGTAAGCAAGCTGGATTTATTATTATGCCTAAGAGAAAACGCCCAGATTCCCTTAAAAATACAAGTTTTGTTTTAAGATTTTTGAAAATTAGCCTTTGTGCAATGGAAACATTTTTATTTGAGGTAGTTTGTGGTTTTTCTGTGGCATTATATAGTTCCAGACTAAGAAATTATGAATTCTTAAGTTTCATACAAGTAAATGCTATAATTTTGTTGTATTATGAATTAACTTTGAAAAGTTTCTTTAAAAATTATATCTTTGCATCCTAATTGCAAACTCTGAATCCTTAAATTTGTTTGCAGCAGAGAAGCTGTTCAACCCTAAACCATAGATGGCAGTAGTAGTGTATT